ACAATTTCTCTACATTTCTTTGTATTCTATGTTTATGCATTTCACAAAGCAACCTAGAGCTGTTTCTTTCCTTTATCATAATTGTTTTGCTTTTCAATTCATACCTGAGTCAATCCAAGTGTCAATATCAAAAGCAACCAAAACTCAGATTTGGCCAACATAAGGAGGCCCACATCTTTCCAGATTTCAACCATAACAGCTCAAATTTGACACTAAAATAATTAAGACAAAGTAAAAGCAAGCAATAGCAGTGTTTATGGTCTTTAGAAGCTAATTTTCCAATATGTTCATTCTAACAAAATCTGGAAATCGAACTGAAATTCTGCATTGTCTTGTAGTTCCAAGCCCCACAACCCAGTTCTAAACACAGATTTTCGTTATCAAAATTATCGAACCATCAGGAAACGAAATAAGAACCAAACACCAATCTAACACCAATCATTTAACAAGATGGTAATAACCATTAATAAACCGAAGAAATCAAAGTCAAATCTTTGGTTCTTTACTCGTTATTTGCTCTTATTAATAAGCTTTGTTATGCAAGCATATCATAACGAAAACACACATGATTATCTTTCCTGTTTTGCATTTACTTGTTTAAATTTTACTAGTCATTCCACCTAGCAAACTAACAGTCCCCTTACTTGTCGGCGGAGTTCTCACCGACGGCGACTACTCTCGCGCCGACGATTCTTTCCCCCCCTTCAGTCCTTCGCATGATATTAGAAACCATAAAAAAAACCCAGAAAAAATGAAGCAAAGTGTCAGAGTCAACAAGCATCGAAGAGAACGAAAACAAAACAAGTCAAGAGAAACAAAAATCTCACCAACAGAGGGACTCTGGTAGTCTCCGCCGCGCCAGTCGCTGGTGGTCGCCTCCTCGCCGCCGGCGACTTTCGTCTCTCTTCCCCTCAGTCGAAACCCAAAAATAAAATGGGAAATGATTAGAACTCCAAATAACCCCAGAACCCCAAATCTAAACATGCAATGGTTGAAAACCACTCACCGTTAGCTCATCTCCCGGAAGCCGTCGTTTTTGTCATCGTCGTTGAATTTTAACCCCGGATCGGCAGGTTGACGTCGAGAGAAGAAGGAGAGTCGATTTGATATTTCCTTTTTCTCTGGCCTAATGAGAACAATGATGGAAGACGAGAGGCGGAAGTGGAAAGGAGATCGACATTAGAGCTAGGGTTCCCTTTTCTTGTTCGTGTTTTAGTGAGGCGAGACAGAGAGAATGAGTGAGAGTGGAGGATTTGGGATGGGCGGCTGTATGAGAGTGTTTTAGATTAGGGTTTTCCACCTTTCCTTTTAGTTCTAAGACTGTCTCGCGAACGGACCCAATTAGCCCTCTGTTGACTTCAAGTTATAACAAATATCAAGTCTACGCTAAACCAATAAGACTACTGTCTACTGCTTATTACTAGTCATTTTTCTGCTTGTTATTCAATCTAAGCCTAATACGCAAAACCTATATCAACTAATCATGTCCATATCTTGGTTTGTCTTAACTACAATTATTTAAAGCATTTCAAAACATTACAATATTTTATCAGTTTCCACTAGAGCATCGTTATTCATAACACATGTTTTCATAGAAAAACTCTTAATAATTCTTACACATAATAAAATCTCTTAATATGAGATTATGGTCAATAGGCCACGATGATCTCTTAAGTTGGAATTCCATAAAAATCGTCAAACCTTTCGATTACCACATTACAACATCAAATTACATAACCCCTTAAAAACTCAATACCTTTCTAATCGCGTATCAATAGAAACGTGTTTAGGTCCTATTTTTTTTTTAAAAAAAATCTCTCATTTTCACAACGAACTACGTGGACTTTGATCCCGATTAATCGGGTACGTAGGCAACCAATAGGTTCGAGTCCAACTATCCTAAAACTTTTTCATTCCAAATATGTACGTCAATAGACGTAAAATCCAACTAACCAAAACTCTTATTTTAATTTTGAGAATTGCGTCAATAGACGTATGATCAAATATTAATAACAAACACACGAATCATAAAATTAAAATACATCAATAAAGTCACAAATAATATTACACCCAACCCTTAAAAACTTATCGATTTAAGTAGTACCAATTTTGGGCGTTGTGGGGTGTGAATACACTTCCCCACACGTAACCGTACTCCCGAACCCAGATTCTCTAAAATTCGCAGACCAGAACGTGGTTTCGACCCTAAGGTCGAGACCGGCCAAAAGGTGTTCGACCCACCCCAAAGCACGGTCGATGGCGACTCCGAGCATGACGCGCGGATC